TCCGCCGCTGTACCTCTCAATCTTCCATCTGATTCAGGAATTTTCCGGCCTTCATGGGAACCGCCGGCGGGTTATTGGATGATAACGCCGTACACCTAATTCTTTCCTTTTTTTGTGTCAAATTTTCTTTTCTTTATTTGAGTTACTAGGCTAGGGTGGTGGAGGTGGGGGCGTGAGTGGTGCTGGTGGTGGTGAGAGTTGGGGGCGTCAGTGGTGGTGGTGGTGGTGGTTTACGGGGGTGCCTTGGTGGCAGATTTATTTTATTATTCTTTTTTTTTTTTTTAATATTTTATTATTCCTTTTAAGTGGATTTATTTAATTTTTATTTCTCTCTTTTTTTGGAGAAATTGTTTTTGTACTTTTTCATGATATTAACAAATATTTGTATTGGTTTAATTTTAATTTTTACTATTTCATAAAAAAAAAATCTAAGAATACATTATATTTTTCACAGTTTTCTTGAAATTGCCAAACAAAACTAAAGAAAGTGATTTTCAACAACAAAATGATTTTCATCTTTTTTCCTTGTAACCAAACATAAATAGGATTTCAAAATTACTTGATTTCCTTTTTCTTTGCGTTTTCATTTTCCACAATTCAAAATCCATGAACCAATCAGAGCCTTAGAGTTCACCACTAGGATTTTAATGGATGATTTTTGTTTACTTGGGGAAATTGCCAAAAACAAAATAGGCCAAGAAATAACTAAGTCAAGCTTTGGCCCCTCTCTCTCTCTTTTCTTTTTTGTATGTGTAAGAATTTGGTGTCTTTTTGTGAAGAAATGGAGTATGCTTTTTGCTCCTCAAATTAATGGGTTTTCCTCTTTTTTTGGCTAATATAACGACATGAACGCATACGGGTGAAATCAAATGGATCTGAGTTTCAGATAAAGTTTTTGCTTCATCAATAGTGCAATATTCGATAGTTATCATTTTCCGCATAAACGCAATCAAAAGGGTTTTCGAAATCAAGTAATCTTAATTCCGGCAAAACAAGTTATAATGAAAATAATCGAAAAATGGCAAAATATTAAGCAAGAGAATATGTAAACAGTCACGAGGATTTTAAAAACTTGGTGGCAGAGGTTTGGCGGGATAATTTAAACAAATGTGCTCATATGTCACTTCTCACTAAATGCATTCGATTTACAAATAGAGCCAAATGGTGGGAAAAAAAAAACATGTGTTTGGTAATTTGGATATGCAAATTGATCATACTGCCACTTCTTAGTAGGAAAGAATTATATTGGAAGCAACAATCTAGAATGGTTCGTGGATTTATGAAGTGGAGAAAATTTCTCAAACTTTTGTGGAACATTTTAAATTGATTAATCTAGCATGTTGCCCTTTTACATAAATGAAACTAGAATTGTTTTATAATTCCTTAAAATACCGATCCTTACCTTCTAAATTATTTTCGGCCAATTAGTTTGTGCAATGTGGTGTATAAAATTATTTCAAATATTTGGGTTAATCGAATTAGGCCATTTTTGGATAAGTTAATATCTCCTTTTCAAAATGTTTTTGTTCCAAAACGACTTATTGGTGATAATATTATTATGGCTCGTGAATTACTTCACACAATGAACAAAAGTAAAGCTAAAACCCCTTATATGGCTATTAAACTCGACATTGAGAAGGCTTATGATAAGCTGGAATGGTCTTTTATTCGACACTCCTGCCTTTTATATAAATTTCCCGATTGTGTGGTCGAGTAGATTATGACATGTATAAAAACTGTTAATTTCTCCATATCTATCAATAGATCTCTACCTCTTCAAAATGGACTCGGCAAAGGGGATTAGACAAGGGGATCCCATATCTCCTTATCCATTTATCCTCCTGCTTGAATATGCTTATTTTTAAACTTATTGAAGGAAAGCATAATAATTTACCCTTGATTTTCTTTCTCTAGAAGTTGGCCAAAAAATTTGTAGGCCTAAATCTAAAGTCCTTTTATCTAAAGCTACCCTTACTATCATTCGAAGAGATATCTGCCAAACTCTTAATATCGGAAGGGGGTGTGCCAAATCCCGGACTAAAACTTACTAAATCACGCACATAAATTAAAACGTTTCTCTCTCTAAAATTATAAAATTATCTGTCTACCTCTATCTATTCTTTATCACTTCTTCTCTTCGGGGAATTCTCCCAAAATCACTCAAAAATGAGAATGAATTCTGTATTTTCGTACGACAAATCATCTTAGACTAGATTTATAATTTCAAGAATTTTCTTAAACATCTTTTACATAATTTTAAATTATTAACATTTTTTAAAAATATTTAGCATTGTTTATATTTATAAATATTACTACAATATTTATTAAAAAAATCAAAACAGTAAATTTCATATCAAGTATTTTTAATATTAAAAATATTGAACAGTAATTATTATTCATTTAATAATTAAATAATTATTGAACAGTCTCAAAAACCGGTCTCATCTTTCGTTTTAAATGGCATCCACCTCCTATAGACTGGTATAAATTAAACATTGATGGTGCATCAAGCTCTAACCCTGGGAATGCAGGTATTGGTGGGATCATTTGCGATCCTAATGGAAACTTCGTGTCCGCATTTTCTAAAACTATTGGCATTTCTTCTAACAATAAGGCTCAAATGTGGGCATTTTTCGAAGGAATTAAAATGGCAAGGGATCATGATATAAAGAAATTAATTATCGAATGTGACTCTTTATTTTGTATCCTCTGTGTTTCAAGGTAGGAGGTGCCCAAGGACCTCAATGTTCTACTCGAGGGATCACTGAAGATGTTGAATAGTTTTGAAGAAGTTAAACTACAATTTGGATATCGTTAGATTAACGGAGCTGCGGATGCACTTGCTAAGATGGGCATTATATAGAAGAGTAATGAAACTAGATATTTTAAATCATGTCCTCCGTTTTTTAACAGTATTTTCACTGGCAACATAACTGGATCTTATCCTCGCATATGTTTTTATCCTTATATTAGAAGTGTCGTCTTGAAGTACTAATATGTTTGTTTTTTTATTAAAAAAAAAATTACAAAACAAAAAAACTGAGATATTCTCGATATAAATTGGACCGAAAAACCATGATCCATTCATATTTTGAATCTCTTACTAGAGATTCATTAATATTACTGCCTAGGCCTGCAATATTACTGTCTCAAACAGTAATATTGCAGGCCGACAATAATAATACTGTCTCAAACAACAATATTGCAGGTCGAAGGTAATATTACTGTCTGAGATAGTAATTTTACTGTATTAATTAATTTTATCATTTTGGCATGCAATTTTGCTGTCTTTGACCGTAATATTACTGTCTCAAATAGTAATACTATAGTTTGGGACAGTAATATTAGTAATATTATTGTTGTAACAGCCTACAACCTAACAGCAGAGTCCAATCGGATCGCTAGCATTAATTTAGGGATGCTAACATTTTTATATGTACTTAAACATTATGGTTTTAATATGAAATTACGTAATACGCGTTAAAAAGAAATCGAACTTTGTACTTTCTCGAAATCTGTACATATATATATAAATATTTATTGTAAATGATACAAAGTTGTTTTATATAATTTGGTAAACATGACTCTACCATACTATATAATCGGAACTTCTAAGTTTAAATGTAAAAAACTGCAATATAAAGAAATAATATGACTACAGTTGATATAATCGCATATAGTCATATTCAACTATAGTCATATCGGCGTTGTAAACCTGTCGATAATTTTTTTTTCAATTTTTTGTTTAAAAAGAATTTTAAAAAATATTAAAAAATAAAAAATGGCTAATTAAAGTCCAAAAATAATAAAAAATAAGAAATGAAAAAAATCATTTTTTTTTATTTTGGTAGCAAATTTAGGAATTAGATTATTTTTATGGAAAAAGAGAAAAAAAGAATAATTGGGACAAAATATGTTAATTGACATAAGTGTAGAATTGTGAATAAAACTTACAGGGTATCACAAAAAAAGATTTAGGGCGGACATAACATCATTTCACTAATCCTCAATAAGAGAGTTGGTATCTAATTTTTACCAATAGGGTAAATGTCTAGGGTTCGAATCCCCTCTCCCCTACTTCCCTATTGTAATATACTTGAATTTACTCTTTAAAAAAAATATTTCTTAACTATACGATTGTTTCATTGCTAATGATCCCATATATATTATAATTATAGATATATAAGTAGGGGCTCTTTGAGAAAACCCCTTCACTATTTTTTTTTAATTGAGGGAGGCCCAAAATATTTTAATCCATTTGAGGAAAGACCACACCCATTTTTAGCCATTATGTTTTCCAACTTTACCCCCGCTCGCCACCTCATCACTGAGCGCGCTGATTTTTTATTTTTCCCGTTTTTTTAATCGACTATGAAGCATAGTCGATTAGTCTTAAATCGACTATGCTTCATAGTCGATTAAGGAAAATCTTTAATTTTTTAATTTTTTTTTCTAATAATGTTTTTAAATTTTTTTGGGTTTTTTTAATTTTTTTCTCTATCAGTTTTATTAATGCATAGTCGATTACAATTTTAACTATTAAAAAATAACAAATCACAATTACAAAAAACATGCAAAATCAACTATTTAAAAAAATACATACAAACATTGTAATTGATTTATACATTGGAATCAATAAACAAAAAATCAAAAAAAAAAGAAAAATTAACAACTGGAGTCGGTTAACCTTAATCGACTACTGAACATAGTCGATTAAGCCTTAATCGACTATTGAACATAGTCGATTAAGCCTTAATCGACTATTGAACATAGTCGATTAAACCACGTAGTCGATTAGGGCCCTGCCTGCGCGAATTTCTTTTTCTGCGCCGTCTTCCGCCACAATCCACTAAAAAATCCTAGATCTGCTCTTCATCGTCACCACGTCGTCAGCCGCTGTATCTCCCACTGGACATCGGCACCGGAAACCCAATCCCCATCCCCATCCCCATCCAAGCACTTTAATTCTTCCCGAAAGGACAAAAATAAAGAAAGGAAAAATGAAGAAATTCATTGTCTTAAATTTCCTGTATTTTCTCGGTGTTTTGACTTTTGCATCTGCAGATTCCGTTTACGACAACTTTGTTCAGTGCTTCGCCGGAGCTAAAATCTCCGACGCCCAAAATTCGAGTATAGTCTACAGCCCAAACAATGCCTCATTCGCGAAGGTTCTCGAATCCTATATCAGAAACCGCCGCTTCAACATCTCCACCACCCCCAAACCCAGCATTATCGTCACCCCCACGACGGCGTCCCACGTCAGCGCCGCCGTCCTCTGCGCCAAGAAACTCGGCGTCCAGCTCAAAATCCGCAGCGGCGGCCACAACTACGAGGGCATCTCCTACGTCTCCGCCGCCACTTTTGGCGATTCTTCTAGGCTCCTCCCAATCACAAATTCCCAATTCCCAATTTTAGGGCTCAAAAAATCAGATTGCCAAGAAATGCCCTGGATCAACTCCGTTCTATTCTGGGGCAATTTCGACAACAAAACTTCACCCAAAGCCTTGCTCACCAGAACCCCAGATTCCGTCAACTTCCTAAAACGGAAATCCGATTACGTCAAAACCCCGATTTCCAAATCCGGGCTGGAATCCCTGTTCGCTAAAATGGCTCGTCGAGCATGGCGAAGACGAAGTGAGGTTGAGTGGTGGAACGACGGTGGTGGTCGGTGAGGATTTGGCGGCGGTGGCGGTGGACGGCGACGGAGAGGCATTGGCGGTGGTGAAAGGCGTGAATTTGGGAAATAGAAATTAGGGTTTCAAAATAGTATATTAACAATTAAGGGTAGATTTGGAATTATAAAAATAATATTTGGTAGAATACTAACCAAGGGGGTTTTCTCAAATTATTTTTGGATGGAGTTTTTCTTAACTATATTTCTTAGATGAGGAGGGTCTTGCTAATAATCCCATATAAGTATTACGATATATATTATACGAGGGTTCCATTGCTAGTGATCCCATATATATTATAATTATATATTATATATAATATATAATAACAAACAAAATATAAAAAGGGTGAATTCACAAAAATAACCGCATTTGAGTCGCGAACACGTGTGGAGATATCGAAAACGACGCTTGAATTGAAATGGCGGAAAAGGACAAGCCACGGCAAAAACCCGCGAAAGAGCTGCCGGTGTCATTCGGAAGCTTCACCAGCAAGGAGACTTGGGATCTCTATTTCGCCACTAAAACCGCCGATGATTTCTCCGAGTGGTACGCCGATTGGCCGCAGCTCAGAACCTTACTCGCCAGAAATCTCCTCTATCCCTTTTCAGTACTCGCCACCCGCCCTAAAACGCCGCCGCCGACGGCCGTGCCGCCGGATCAGCTCCGTATTTTGGTGCCCGCGTGTGGGGATTCGAGGCTGTCGGAGCATTTGTACGACGTCGGCTTTAGGAATATACTTAATTTGGATTACTCGAAAGAGGTTATCGCCGCCATGTTGAGGAGGAACGTGAAACAGCGGCCGGGGATGAGGTGGCGCGTTATGGACATCACCAATATGGAGGTAATTATATTTAAAAAAAAAATCATTTCGAAGTTTGTTTTATGACTCTCAATTTCTATGTATTTCCATGGCGATTTGATTTTGGATTTCTATGCTCGCTGCTAGTTTCTAGCACAATCAACTAAGCCGATGAATTATTTCTTAATTAGTGAACTGTAATGGTGGTGAATTGAGTTTTAAGATAACGGAATGAAGAAGATAGGTTTCTCTGTGGGGGTGATTAAGAATACAGACTGGGTTTAAAAGGTGGAAATTCGATTTTACTCGGAGCATGTATAATGTTAAAACAATGATGTTTTAATTTAATTGGGCATATATTTGGAAGTGAGTATATGATTATTTGGAAAAACAATATGACGAACGAGTTACAATTAGTGAAACCCCCTTTTCTCCATTGTTCTTACTTGATGAACAGTGTTCAGGGAATTTTTTGCAAATACATCAAAGAAACTGTGTTCGTTTTTTTTTTTTTAAAAAGATCAATGATAGGTTGATTGATGATATTTTTATCTGTTCTGTTTTGGCTCTGTGGATCTGAGTGACCTTTATAATTATGGTATCATGAGTTGACCGGCGGTTGTCTATTGGTAGCTATTGTAAGTTCAACAATTCAATTTTGGTCACTATTATGGTACTCTTTTTTGCGTAGTTCTCTTCTTTAACTTTCCGTCTTTTTCCTTCTGACAATTTGTCTTTGATTCAGTTTCCAAACGAGAGCTTTGACGCCATCATTGATAAGGGAGGATTGGATGTTTTGATGGATCCTGGATTTGGTCAAAAATATCCTAATCTATATATAACTAAGGTGTATACTAATCTTACTTGTAAACAAATGCATTTTGGTTGTTGTTATTTGTGAGGGATTCCAAAAGCTCGACTCACCAGGTATCTTGTTGTGTATTACCAGGTAAAACAACTGTTAAAAGTTGGAGGTAAATACATTTGTCTCACGTTGGGGGATTCTAAGATGTTAGGTAATTTTTCGTATTATTAATTGGTCTTTTGGGGAAAAATGGCCTTTGGCTAGTGTGTCCTGTCTTCCTTCCTTCCACCATCTCTTTACATTTTTCGTGCTCTTTTGTTGAAAGTAAAACACGAGCTGTATATTTATTCTGTTATACTATCTTCCATCATGATTTTCTCTCAGGTCTACTGTTTCAAAAGTTCCGTTTTGGGTGGAAAATGAATTTCCATGCTATTGATCCGGAACCATCATCCAAGAACCATGGTCAGCAAACCTTTATGGTGGTTGTTGAGAAAGATGGTTCAACTGTTGTTTATCAGATATCACCACTTCTGGACCTCCGTAAATATCATGTTGGTCAGGTAAAGACATGCACTTTCGAAAGGATTCAAAATAATCTAACATTATATTATTTTGTCAAAAGTGAAAACAAATTATTGCACAATTTGATATATCTATAGAGCTACTTAAAACTGTAATGATATCATCTTACTCAATAAATACCCATTTCCAAGAAGGGTAATATACAAAACTGAGACAACTTAATTTTTTATAAGTATTTGTTAATCTATAAATATGAAAAGATAAGTCATTATGAATAGCTCTTCTCATCAGATATTTCCTAAGCGTAGGATTTCGGCATTATTTTCAACTAAATGTTGAAATTTGTTCTTTTGTGATGTACTTTTTGGACGTGTTATAGGTTCATGAACTCGTTGGAATACTTAGAAGAGAAAAGGGGTGTCGTAGTGTTTTAATGCGTTCCCTTGATATATTCTATCCACTTCAAGATGTATTGGCAGCAGGAAACTTGACAGAGCTTCAACCTGGTCGTAGGCTAAAGCTATTTTTAGGGGAATATGGAATATCCATCTTCGTGTTTAAAAGTATACTTCTTGACGCTCAACGAGATTCAGGACCTTTCTCCCATCAGTTTCTAGTACTCATTGTTCCAAAAGTTAGTTCCTCTGCCCCTTTCAAGTTCCAGCGATCTTTATTTGTCATTTTATTTATTGATTGAGATTAGGTTTTTGTTTAATCCTGTTTAATGTTAAGATAGTGATACTCAAATTGATTAAGAACTTGCACATCATGACTGTGTGATTTAAACCGATACTTTTAAGTGACTTTTCCTGTGTTTTATCTCTTGTTTTATTTTAGTTTTCTACTTCTGAATGGGAATAGAGGATATGAATGGCTGATGTTATCACTGCCAACTAGTATTCTGATTCAACAAATATGGACAACATTGCATCCATTTGGTAATCGAAACGAACAGACATGGTAATGAACAAGCAAGATATTATTTGAGTGATAGGAACAGAGCTTCGGGCAAGCAGCTTATCCAAAGCAGTAGCCTTGGAGTTCTTGAACTAAAGCATGACTTATCCTCACGTGTCTTGCCTTTATATATATATATATATATATTTCTGATATTTCAATTTGAAAGTTGGATTAGACAGAGGATCTTTGTTGTTTTCTTGTTCTTTTTGTCAGTAATTTGAAGGTAATCCCTTTTGCAAAACATGACTCGACGCCATGTTGGTATGTTATGTTATATTGTTTATTTTCAACCATAGTGGTATGCCACTGAAATTTCAGATTTCAGGTTCGAACTCTTGAGTGGATATTGTCATCAGAGGAAGGACAATGGGTCTTTGTTAAACAATTTAAGGTTGCTCGATTAGCAATTGTATGTCTTTCCAGAAACCACAAATAAAGTGAATTTCTTCCTTTCTCTTGTCTTTTTTATTACATTTTTTAACTGTAAAATTTATTCTGTTTAATTTAGATTCTGCTGGATACCCCACATTCTTGTTTTACGATCGAAGTTATCCAGGTAATGTCAACATTATTTTCCATGACTTGAAGGATCTGGCTTACTAGCTGTAAATGTGAGGGTTTATATTGATTTTTGCTCATTTTAGCATGATCTCACTCCTTTGGTAAAACACTTGGCTCCAGGAGATGAAGTTCCTATTCAGTAAGTATCCACTGACAACTGTTTATCAATCATTACATGTCCAAATATCAGAATTCCGTTCTAATTGTGCTTTTAGTTCTTGAATGCATATTGGCATGCTAGTTTATCTGTGAAAAGTGACTCCAGCATATTTGTTGTGGTAAATGTCGTTCAGTTGCTTGTTACTTTCCAATTTAAGCATTTTGTCGTTGAAGCACCTGCTACTTTATGTAGCTTGAACATCACACTTCTGTTGTTGATCATTAGCAATGGGTTACATTGGTGATTCTTAATATCATCTGCAAATTTATGGATTTGATATTGCAAGTAAGATGCTAGAGAAAATTAGAGAAAATTACGGGTATTCTGTTCTGAGAAGAATATTCTAGAACTGAACGATGGATGCAATTTTCGCCGCTTTTTTTTTTTTTTTTTATATAATCTGCATGTTGTTCTTGGGCCTATGTTCTGCTCATGACGTTATACCTATTCATTCTTTTCATAGTCTGCAAGCAACGTATGCCAATTTATATTTTTTTCCATCGAAAATGAAGTTCTCTGTTTCTGAACCAGAAATAACAAATATATAAGTTCATATAAGCAATAACCAGATCTTTGTGTTATGCTTAATTTGCTACACTAATAAGATTGAATAACTAACTAACAAGCGTTCAAGTATATGTCGTGTTGTGTGTGCATTACGCCTTTCCAATGCCTCATAGAACAAATATTTGCGGAATGAAATCATCACATATGCCTTTTACAGGTTTGTGGTTGCAAGTGAAGGAATTAAGCAGCGAGAAGTTCTATGCGAGGTCTAAAACCGAGTACCTCTTGTTATCTAATGATTTAATTGGTTTTCCTTTTTCGATGGTAGAACTAGTTATAGAATCTAAGTATGTAAGTGCTATGACTATAACAAACTAGGGGCCAAAGGATAGCAGGGTATGGCTTCAGAACTCTACTGATCCCTTATGGTTTAAGGAGAGTCAATTTATTTTATGACATCGTCCACTTTTTATTTGTGTGGTGGAGGGATGTCTGAACATCTTAACTGGAACTTAGAAATCAAACCATCTCACTAATTGATAATTGCAAGATGTAAACCAGTTTTAATTCAAGAAGAAGCAAAAGTAAGTGCCGTCACATCCAAATAGAGTTACTTGTCATTATAAACAGAAACTTCAAACATAAGAATTAGTATATAATATTTTATTACGAGTTCATTTCAACCGCTTTTAGCACAATGTGCTCATTCTCTCTACCTTTTTCGATCTTCTTTCTTGAATGGTTTATCCAGGTTGTATCTGCCTTGAATGGTTCGGTCCTGGTAGATGATTTGATCTTTGAAAAGCTTGATGATGCTCTTATTCGTTACTTCCCCTGTAAACTTTTGAAAATCCGCCGCTTCGTTGTTCGGAGTATGGTGCGATCTGAAGCTATTTTATCGGTAGACGCACCAAATGAAAGTGCAAGTGAAGTAGAGGGACATAATGTGCAAGCGGCTTCCAAAACCAAGAAGAAAGGAAAGCAGAAGAAAGGAAAGCATACATCTCGATCAACTGGTATCTTTTGAAAACTTTAATTTGACATCAGATAACTTGAATGAGGTTTTAATATTTCTATTACGGTCTTACCCTTAACACTTGCTGGTATCTATTGTTGAGAAGTAGAAGTAATAATATATCTTCACCTGTATTGACTACTATACTGTTGTCTTTTCCGTTATCTATGGGCAGCATCAAGTGGTGAAATGCAACTTTGTCACAACTATTTGGATAGCTTTCATCATAACGGGATTATTTCTGGATTAATGTTGATTTATTTACACTTGAAAGGATCTACCTCATCTGCTGGATTGGTGAGCCATTTAATTCCACATATAGTTGTTATCTTGTGTTATTTAGATTGAATGTTTCTCAGCGTAGGACGTAAATATATGTGGAATAATATTCTATTTACATTGATGTTAGTATGACAAAAATGAATATCTGAATCAGGTCAAGACGGTGGTTATCGGTCTGAAAGCAGGATTACTTCCCATGTTTATGAAGAACTGCCTACCTTGTCTACATATTGAGGTGCCATGAAATTCTTGATTGCTGTACACCGTTTCATCCTGCTTTTCTTGTTCTCATGGATGGTCTTAATCGACAGGTTGTCGAAGTAGATCCTGTGATTGTGGATATTGCTAGAAAATATTTTGGTTTAGTAGAAGATGAACGCTTGAAGGTAACGTTCTAACTTTGTCATCTTCATCAACTAAAGTATAAACCGGAGTTTGCAAAAAAAAAAAAAACGGCATAAAGGCTCGCAACAACTTTTAGTTCTAACATATATCAGCAACACAAGAAATATCGAGTAACTTGAGAAGATTAATGCAGATCTCATTTTTCACTGAAAAATGTGAAGGAAGCATTTCTTATGTCTTTTTCATTCTCTTTCAAGGTACATATCACTGATGCGTTTGCTTATCTCGACAAGAGAGCCGCTGAGGAAGGTAAATCAGTAACAACTGGTTGTAATAAACAAGACGATTTGCTCTAGAGGATGTAATGTAACTGAATAATTGCACTGTAGTTCTCGCAGAAGAAGACCACTCTTTGAAACTGGACATACTTGTAGTCGATGTGGACTCACCACTGCCAACGTAACATAGTTTCTCCAAAAATCATTTTTATCATCTTTTTTTTTTGTTTTTTCTATGTCTGTTTAAAAAACATAATTTTCATTTTTTTAAGCGCTACGTTTATTTTGCAGTACTTCTTTAGCTTCCCCTGCAATATGTTTTATCGAGGGGCCGTTTCTTACTAGAGCAAAACACTCGCTATCCGAGGATGGTTTATTGATCATTCATTTGGTCACAAGCTTCTCTGGTGTGAGGTTACCAGTGTATTCATCTCTGAAGAAGGTGACAATATTTACCGTAAAGTAACATCACAATGTAATTCCTAAATAGTTTCATTATCTAAACCGTTTGGTCTGAATAATTTGTAGGTATTCAGCACCATTTTGATACTCCATCCCGATGAAGATGCCAATGATGAAGTAATATTTGCCCTGAAGAAGGACTCACCTGTTACCGAAGAACAACTTTCCGCAGCTTGGAGTAAACTTGCAGCATCTTTAGAGCTGCAAGAAAAACAGGGGTGGGAGCAAAGAGTCGTAGATTCCTCAAAATTAATCAAGCTACTATGATGTGGCTAATTCATTTTAGGATATTCGAAAAACACACAGGTGAAATAGTATTAATTAGCTCATGGGGTTTTACCTTAGTTTCAAACGTAGCTTGAAATCGTTTATTCTTTGCACATATACCTGACCGTTGTTACTGTGAATAACGGCCCCACAAATGGGATAATAGTATACGCATGTTGGTTCGTTTCTTGTGACTTTGAAGTGAAACAACTCGACATATTTGCCAACCAAATAACATTAGTGATTAAGCCTTTTTTTTTTTTTTTTTTTTTTGCTGAAAAAGGATATTTATTTCATTAAAAACGAATGGGGCCTAGTCCCTTGTGGGCCTACACGAGTTAAAGAGTACCCCTACAAGATGTAAATAAATATCCGGGAGACTAAAGCTACCCTATTACAGAGAGAAGTCTCACAAAATGAGGGAAACAAATATATACTACTCAAAGCTAATAAATAATAATACGAAATGATAATCTCATGCATGTCGATATTTGGGGATGCCAATTTTATCGTAGAAGCAAATCTTCAGAGTATCTCTTGGAACCGCCTTCAATTGGTAGAAATCTCTATTTGGTTGAGTATGAGCCCAAGCAGCAAGGGCATCCGCCAACTGGTTTTGCTCCCTAACAATGAGCTTGTAGTTACAATTATCCAACCGGCATTGACAACCAAGGTAAGTCAGCTCACTACTTCCAGTTCTCTTGTCCATGCACTAGTTAAATGCCATGAAGGAATCCGTTTCAATATCCAAAGAGGTGATTTGAAGATGTGCCGCCAAATGAATTCCATCATAAATCACCTTAAGCTCAGTGTGTTCAATACCAATATCTGCATACCTCTTAGTAAGGCCAGCAACCGGATTGCCTTCATGATCACGAAGTACGCCTCCTCCCGTTGCTTGATGGTTTTTAACAGAAGCATTTGTATTCAATGTGTATCTACCTTCGTGAGGTTTATTCCAAACCAGCCACCCACCACGCTTAATCAGTCTTCGCTTCACCTAGATATGCAGCTTCTCAAGGATTTGAACTTCCCAAACAGTGGTGTCCCGTTTAGAGATTTGTGAGAGATTGAGATGTCGAACGTGTTGAATAACAGGTCAAATTATATGAGTGCTATTCATGGTTATACCATCGAATCTTGCCTCGCATCTGCTCTTCCATAGTTCACATAAGCTATAAACCTTCACCCCCAAGGCAGTAAAACCAACATGAGCTCTCAAGCTTCAACCATGCATCCATGAGGTGAGAAGCTGAGAAGTCGATGTGAATCTATTCCCATTCCTATAAATATTAAATAAAAACTCCAAACCTATTTAGCAACGATAAATTAACCAACAGGTGATTAATAGATTCTCTATCACCATGGGAGCAACAAACACACTTGGAAGCCAACTAAACACCTCTAGCTTGAATATTAGAATCAACAGGGAGAGCTTTGTGCAGGCGCCACATAAATGCATTAGCTTGAGCTCTAATTTATGGTTCCACACAATATGACACAACTGAACTTGATGTGATGGAATGCGAGAATAATCCAAATATTTCTTTAAAAAGAAAATGCCACCGGCATCCTTGGTATAGACAAGTTTATCTTCTTCTTTGTCATTCAGATGGATGAGATTGAGAGCATGTCTTTGATCCAGTGTAAGTTGTTGGAGATCAACCCTATTATGGTTCAGCACATCTGTCACAGTGATGGAGGAGTTATTGGTTGGATCAAGAGCTGATCCATACCAATTGACTCTCCAAAAGGAAATCTTTTCTTAGCCAACAATCCATTTACTTAGGGTTTGTGATAAGTGTTCATTTTGCATGATTTTCACTTATCAATTGTTCGAGTTTTGGTCTTTGTTCGAACGAGTTTTTGACTTTATTTGTATATAGCCGATGCGAAAGGATATTGGAAGCGAAGCCGAGGATCAAACCAAACACGTGCAAAAGTACATTCTCGCAGCTTGTGGCAGTGTCTCATATTTAAATCATAACTTTCGAATACGATCTCTGATTGAGCTGTTTCAAGTGTTTCAAGTGGCAGTAGAAAGCTAACTTCAAGGCCTGCAACTTTTGTTAAATGAAAAGTTGTCAAATTCGGGCTAAAAACTGGTCAAAACAGGGTTTGGAGTTGAGCAGACGGCCAGATCGCGATCCACTCTTCCTGTATCGCGATCTGGGGTTACTTTCAGAACGTTTTTCGATCAAGACCCAGATCGCGATCCAGCCTTCCTGTATCGCGATTTGGAGGGTATCACAGAACAATTCCCATATCGCGATCAGGCAAGGCGGTGCGCAGTTGTATAGACTGCCAGATCGCGATCCAAGAAGCCCAGATCGCGATTTGGGCACATAAATCGAGACCAGATATTTTTCTTTGTTTTCTTACTATAAATAGAAGGTCTCTTTTTCATTTTTAGATCTCAAGAACTTCTTCGAGGACCTCTTCTTCGGTTTTTCTTCGGTTTTCTCCTCGATTTTTGCCACTTCTTCGCCGGAAGCTTCGACGAGGGTTTCGAATCGGGTTTTTCATAAGCTTTTCTTTACGTTTAATTTATGATTTCTCGTGTTCTTCATGTTAATGCTATGTTTCTAATGAACTGAGCATTTTCTTTTAGGGAAATGAAACCTTGTATATATTGATTTTGATTTCCTGATATGTGATCTATTTGTCGTTCTTTAATTCTAATTATGTTTTCATTTAAAAAATGCTTTCGATTGTTTGGCCAACAATTGAATTTATTGTAAATGGTAATGAACTCGAGAGAGGATTTCTCCTTTGATTTTAGGAAAGCATAGCTAGGGTTGTGGAGACGGAAACGTGATGCACCTCGGATAGCCCTTAAGGACTTGACCTAAATGATCTCTTAATATTAGGTTCTGAACTGAGACGTCGGACCTGTGGGTAGACTCTAACTACACTAGAGACGGGGGTTAGGTTATTTAAGTGTCTGGGTTAGCGAATATAGAATTGACATTAGATTCGGAGTTTTAGATCTTTTCGATAGTACATTGGTGGATTTTACCCTAGAAGCCATCACATGTCGGAATTCATCGCTTATACTGGCAGACTGTTGTTTTTATTATTGTTTTTTTTCTTTTTAGCTTCATCCCCACCCCTTTTGATTGTATACATAAAGTTTAGGATAGTATAATTACGGTACTTGGTAGATTTAGGAACTTAATTCCCTATGGATTGATATCTGGAATTCACTATTCTACAAAACGCGATACTGTACACTTGCGGTTTTTCATACGTAGGTTTTACGCGTATCAGTTTGCAAAGTGTGAAAGTGAGGAACGAGTTGCTTTCACATTCTGGATTAAAAGGCTCTTCCATTCAGACTATGAGGAGGATAACCATATTTCTGAATAAGAATCTTACTCCAACCATAACATTCCAAAGCAATTTTCCTTGCAAGCCTTTAACTGTATCCTCCATACTTCTTACACCTAGCCCTCCTTCATTTATGGGAAGACACACAGTTTCCCAATTCTTCCAATGTGACATGGATTCATCTTGCTGGTTCCACAAGAAATTCCAAAGAATTCTATCAATTCTGACAAGAACAGACTTAGGCACCACTGTAGAGGGAAGAGTATGGATTGGAATGCTTGAAAGAACTGATTTGAGTAAGGTTATTTTGCCAGCAAAGGATAACAGTTTTGCTTTCCATCCTTCAACCTTATGTGGAACTTTCTGAATCAACCCTTCAAAGTATATGGCTTTCCCTCATGCTTATATATGGAAGCTCCAAGGCAAGTAAGGGAAATTGAGCAACAAAACATTCAAGTTTTTGCTCAATTATGTGAATTCTAGTAGATGATATATACTTAGAATGGAAGAGGACACTTTTCTGGAAGTTAATCTTTTGTTCAGAGGAAACTTCATAAGCTTGAAGAAAGAGATAAAGATTTTGGATGGACTGTATACTTTCATTAGAAAAGAGAAGCATGTCATCGGTGAGATGGGACATTGATCTCACTCTTCTTCCAAGTTTATAGGGAATAAGCCCAGTGCTTTCCAGTTTTAACTGATTAAAAGATAAAATCTGTTGACTTAAGGTAAAAAAAAGGGGGAGATAATGGATCGTCTTGTCTCAAACCTCTACTGGATCTGAAAAGTTGTTGATATTCCCCATTGATATTCTTTGTATACCAAATATCTCAAACAATTATGTAGATTAGATCCTTTGCTTTAACTGAAAACCCCATACTTTACATAGATGTCAAAAGGAATCTTCACTCCACCCTATCATAAGCTTTGGAATTGTAAATTTTAAAAATGACATTCCCTTAGCATTTCCTATCAATATCCAACACCATTTTCTGAATTAAGGCAGTTGACTCATGAATAGTTTTACCTTTGATAGAGCATGTTTGTTGCTCATCAATGATTTTCGGAAGGAACTCAGCTACCCTAGAAGCCAATATTTTATCTATAATCTTTCTTGTGAAGTTGCCAAGACTGATTGGTCTATAATCTACCATTGACTTTGGCAACTACTTTAGGGATAATAATAAGAACAATAGTTGCAATCTCTTTTGATAGGTGGTCTCCAGAAAATAACCTTTTACCAAATCCCTTTTCCTCTATGTTATTTCAGCATCCTTTGTAGAACCAACTAGTAAAACCATCAATCCCTGGAGAGCTGTTAGGAGAAAGAGTACTTATGGCCTCAAAGACCTCTTCACTGGATGGAATGGCAGTCAAAACTTGATTGTCCCCCTGATCTATATGGTTTGGATAACCTTCAAACAACTTGGACTCTAATGGATAAGGAGATGCACTGAATAAATCAGAGAAATGATCAGTTGGAATAGCTCCCAACTGAGTACTATCACTGATCCATTCCCCATTATTATTTTGAACTTGATAGTATTTCTCTTTCTTCTGACTCTTATAGTAGCATGATAGAGTTTAGAGTTTTTATCTTCATCCTTGATTCAAGCTTCATTAGTCTTCTGAAATAATAAGTTAACTTCCCAAATGAGGTTTTGTTCCAGCTCTTGTTTAAGTTGAGTGACTGTATCAGAGACCTCAGAATTCCATCCATCTTGCAATTGCATCTCCAACTATGCAATTTGTTTCATCTTCTCTTTGATCATAATAGTAACATTACCAAAAGTCTCTCAATTCTACTTTCTTAGAACTTGTGTAAATCTTTTCAGCTTGCCAGCAAATCTGTGTCCAGGATTCCGAGTAATTTCCTCATTCTAGGACTCAACAACCACACTG